TTGTGGGCATATCGCACTGCTTATAAGACCTCTTTGTGGGCATATTCTTTTTTATTTCAAAGGTTTTATGTTTTGTTTTGCTTGAGGACTAGCAAAATCTAAGTTGGGAGGTGTGATTGTGCATCAAAAGTGTCATTAAGTCTCTTATTTTACATATGTATTTATTGTTTTTATTTGGTTGTTTTTATAATAATTGATGTGTTTTTTAGTAATGAAGTTTGTTTTAATGTTTCGATAGGTTCTTGGAGCTTAAATGAATTAATTCAGAAAATTCAACGTCGGAATTCAGAACAAAGAATTGAAGAGACATTTAGTTGAAGATTGAAGCAAATCTTGGTTCAAATAAGTGCTCCAAATTTGTCCCAAAAATCAATTCTATTCCAATTCTAGAAAAGAATATCATATGATTTATTTCAAGCCCAAACTTGCCTTATGTTGTGTGCAAACTTCAACCATTAAACACTCAAGGTTTCAATGTCAATCTTAGCCCAAATAATAAGTACATTTGTATACTTATTTGATGCTCAAATTCAGCCCAAAAATCAGCCCCAAATCAGCCCTAAATCAACCCCAAATCAACCTTCAAATCAACCCAAACACAATCCATGATCTTACATGTCCACACAACAAATAACAATTGATTTATTTTGGGCAATCCATTGATCCAAGAAGGCAAGCACATGGATGGAAAGCTGGAGGGGATATTTTAACATTATTTTGGGTCAAAAAGAAGAAGGAGACACCTCATAAATGAGGAAGAAAAACGTGCACCAAAGTAGTTGTAAAGCTGTCTTGATTTGATTTTTCAGAACACCTTTCGGTGTTTTGCCCATAACTTTTGACTCAGGTGTCCAAATGAGCTGTTCTTTAATGATCTGGAAAGGTGACAGAATTGCCTATAAATATGTCTCTAATAGACTTCTCCAAAAAAAGCTTCTAAGAGGGTCGAATTGCTGTCCAAAGTTAGAGTCAGATTTGTGTCCGAATTTTTTCTGAAATTGTATTGTGTTCTTCTTTATAGATTTCGGTTCTTTAGTTTGTAAAACTTATTTTTTCAGTTGGATTCAAGTTCTTTCATGTTTATTGAAGTGTTCTTATATATAATCATGGTTGGCTAAACTCTTTCTTGGATCCAGATCATAAAAAGCGGTCAAGCAATAGACTAAGTATTAGCTGAAGCTGAATCCTTCAAAATGCTCATTTGGGGTGATGTCTAGAAATTGCTAAGATTTGTGATAAGCAATAAAAAAATAGAGGTCGATCCTGATAAAATGAAAGCAATTCAGGCTATGATAGTTCCTAAAACTAAGAAAGAAGTAAGGCTTCTTAGGATGTTTAAATTATATCGCTCGATTCATATCTCAGTTAACAGCAACATATGAGCCAATTTTTTTATTACTTCAAAAAAAAAAAACCCAGTACATGGGACAAAGATTGTCAAGAGGCTTTTGATAAAATAAAACAATACTTACATAATCCACCTTTATTAGTGCCACCAATGCTTAAAAGACCTTTGATTTTGTATTTGACAGTAACTGAGGTAGCAATGGGTTGTGTGTTGGGACAACATGATGAGTCTGGAAAAAAAAGAGCAAGCTATCTATTATCTGAGTAAGAAGTTTATCGATTGTGAATCCAGATATACTATGACTAAGACGCTATATTATGCTCTTGTATGGAGTATGAAGCGTCTTCGACAATGTATGTTGTATTATATCACCTGGTTGATCTAAAAAATGGATTCTCTTAAATACATCTTTGAGAAACCCTACTTATCAAGCCAAATAACAAGGTGGCAAGTAATGTTAGCTGAGGATGACATTATATACAAGATAAGAAAATCTGTAAAAGAAAGTGTAATTGTTGATCATCTAGCAGATAATTCTATCAAAGATTATAAGCCTTTGAAATTTAATTTTCCGGATAAGGATGTGTTAATAGTAGAAGAAGATAAAGAGAAGAATGATTGGTGGATCATGTACTTTGAAATTTAATTTCTAGTAATAACGACACAGGTCCAATAACCATCTTATCATGTCATCGTTCGTGGATCCAAAGCCCAATTCTCAAGTATGGTTATACTCATTTCTCAATGATATCAAAATAATTTTTTATTTTATAAATGAATATTGTTTGTCGACACGTCTCTTTTTTTATAAAAGGACCAATGTCAAAAATTTAAATACCAAATATAGATTATGTCCATTATTTTTTTTCTTTTGGTAATCCAAACATAACTCTCCTTTTTAGGGTCAAATGTCAATATTTTATACGAGTCTCCTATTTTTAGGGACTGATGTCATTTATTTTTTGACTCGTCTCCTACAAACATTGTTTGTCTACACGTCTCTTTTCTTTACAGGAAATGACCGATATCAAAAGTTTAAATACAAAATATGGATTATGTCCATTGTTTCTTTTTGGTGGTAACTCATACGTAACTCTCCTTTTAGAGTTAAACGTCGACATTTTAGACTTGTCTCCTATTTTTAGGGACTGATGTCATTTTTTATGTGTCTTCTATTTTTAGGGACTAACATTAATCATCTTAAAAAAAAAATTGCAAATAAGCTCAAAATGTAATAGCATTTGAATCAAATAAAAAACACACAAGGAAGGGTACCCTTTCTTTTGAAATGATGTTTTAAGGGTAGTGCCTACCTTCCCTTAATCATAACTAATCCAGTACCTGAATCTCTAGGACTAGTGTCTAATTTGGGATTTCTAGTTCTATCAAATTACTAGATGACGACTCAAATAAAATCTTTGTTTCTCCCAATTAAGAAAAATCTTTCTTTTTGTTAAATAAACAAAAAAGTGGAGCCATCGCCCGATGTCGTGTAGCGACAATCATAATGCAATCCAAATATATATAAAGTGAAGCAAGAATCAATAAGATACTGAAAACAAGCAAAATAAAACTATGATTATGATCTCATAAGTAGCAAAATGAATTTGTACATACAAAAACTCTCCATAAAACAAAAGCAAAAATTAATAAAAATATATAATTGAATCTTAAATAACCCAAACATAATATAAATAAACTGAACAGGTCAACACAAATAGTTGTAAACATGTTTTCTGTAACTTGATGCAAAATTGACCCTTTACACAATTTTAATTACCAGAATGGAAACTCAAACCAAACCCTTGTACCCTAATGTTAATGGGTTAGACATATACCTAATTAAAATAAATTCTAAGCTAATTTAAATAAGCTTTATAAATAATAAAACAAATAAAAAACTATAAAAAAATATTTTTCATTATTTGTTATATAATATAGTGAAAATTAATTAAGAGAAATAATTGACAAAAAATACTGAAAAATAGACAAAAACTATTTTTTTCTGCAAGTTTCTTGCTTTGCATTCTTGATGGTAATACACAACACCATTTCTGTTCTTGTGCTACCTTTTATTTTGTATATTGAAAGCATATTTTTTTATTTACTGCCACTCTTTTTTCTCTTCCCAATCCTTTTTGCAAGTGTTTGCTATGTTTCTGTTTGTTCTATTGAGATCCTTTTTTTTTTTTTTTGGTGGGGG